AAAGCAGGGCTTCAGAACCCTAATAGCTTCTCTCCTTTCCAGTTTGACAAGCAGAATAAATAACAGAATAAATTGTACACTTCATTTGCATGATTCATTTGGATCACAGAACTTTAATTGCTTTGGAAATTTGGAGAGGGGTACACAGAAAGCCCATTTCTAAGAATGGACTGAAAGCCCATCAAAACTTAAGGAGAAAAGAAGACCTATAGGAGATAAAAGCAAACACACCACTGCAGCAAATATCAAATACTAGGCCAGGTTTTGGCACAAGCTGTTTATTGAGGCTTGTGTGATGAGTGCTGGGGACAGTCTCACCACTTCTCCACCCAAATTGACAACAAAGGGGATCGCTGAATACCAGTCGGTGGGTAGCAGCTGCAAGTGTTGCTGCATTTGTGTCATGCCTGTGGGCTTCCTATAGGCCTTTTGGTTGACCACTGTGGGGAACAGGATGCTGAACTTAGATGGTCTGATCCAGTAGGATTCTTCTTATATTCTTCTGGTCAGAGGAATAAAAGCTGGTCTGTGTCATGGCTTGCTGTATCTTTTCTATTATTCTGGTTCTGCTTCTCTTCTTCCCATATGAAACAGGAAAGGGAATGTGCAGAAATGTAATACTGGCAAGCACTTCACCAAAACCAAGCAAGGATTCACTGTTGGGTGATTTCTTCTGGTTTTACCTTTGCTTCTCTCATAGCTGCATCACTGTTCTTTTATCCCTGGAAAAATGAACAGAAGGGGGTGTTGTTGTTTTTTGCTTTAGTTAAAAGTTTGCTGGCATAAACAGTGTTTATGAACTGAAAGTTGAAGAGGATGGGGAAAGCTAGCTGAGAGAGAGCGTGTGTGTCATCGTTGGTCAGTGTCAATATTGTGTGCAACTTACAGGCGCTCCAATTCAAAATTTCTCCCTGCTTTCCCGCCTGGCTTTCTCTGTTTGATTTGGAATGGGAGGAGGAAGATCTGGGGCCAGAAGTAATACAATTGGTGACATTGACATGCGCACCAGTTTACATTGGACCTACTGCTGAGAATGCTTGAATCCAGTTTACAAATATGTGGCAGCTATTTCATTTCAGTTCTTGGAATAGATATCACTGCCAACATTTCAAGAGCTTTTCAGGAAGCAAAGGCATGGTACAGAATCCAGCCCATTAATTTACTTTTCTCCTCAAACTGACACAGTGAGTCAGTGACAGAGGCTGAAGGAGGACACACGAATCCTGACTCAGAACCACCTGCTTGAACTAATGCCTAAATTAAAGTATCAGGACTGCACAAATCCTTCATTCCTTTGAGCTAGCTACTACTGTGAGCACTGGCTCATAATGCCACTTTAAATAAGTTTTCTCTTTTAGAGTGTGTGTCTTGAAAATGGAATGCACGCAAAAGGATGGGTTGTTTTGTTTTTTGAGATCTTAAATAAGAAAGCAACAGAAGCAAAACAGAGGGCAGCAGCTTTTCTGGAGACTTTGAGGGGGAAAATCCCTTTTGTATTTCTGTAGTCCTTGTTTTTTTTTTTCTTATCCATGGCTGATATGCTCAAAATTGCCTTCATGGGGAGACTGTTTGGTTGCTGTTGTTGTTTATTACATTGTTTAGGACTGCAGTGGTAAATTGTTGCAGCCAAATCTGGCACCCACCCACCCTGAATTATATTCCCATTGGTTTTAACAATGCTATTGTTAGAAATGCAAATATGGTTTAACAATTCCTTCCAAGAACTTTTTAATCAGGAATTCTAAGTAGGAAATATATAGAAGTGGGTTTAAAAAAAACCTACAGTTTAATGCAATTCGCCAAACCAAAGTCTTTGGAAATGCTTTCCTCTGAATGTCTAGGACAGAGCAGAACAAAGTCAATTACTGACTGTAATTAAGAAGTGGATGCATATAAACTGTAGAGAGCAGTAGCAGTCTTCTTGAAAGTGTTTAGTAACTCTGAAGATTACAGAGAAAGAGACTTGAACTGTATCTCGAATAGCAAGTATTTTGAATGAATTCACTTCTTCCTGTTCTATGATCTACTTTTGCTGATATATTCATACATCACCGATTATATATGATTATTACAAACAGCACATTAAGACGAAGACTCTTTCAAAATGAATGTTGCTTTGGTCTTGTTAGCACTGAAGTATCTCTTTTACATATCATAAGGGTACAAATGTTTATGCAATGCTGAAATACTTGTATTTTAATAAAGCTCAAATTTACTCAACGGAAGAGTGAACTATGTTGCTTCCTTCTTAAGCCTTCAAAATAAAGTCACTCTAATTACGTGTGTTGCTTTTACTTTGAAAATATTGTTTCTTGTAATAATTTAAGTGGTGGTTTGTTTGTACTGGAAGAGATGCACTAGATTGGATTGACCATTGTGTTTAGTCTAATTCATGTCTCTCACCGCACATTAATACATTTGTAGTGTCATATAAAACAGTTGAAACCTACCCAAAATTAAAATTTGTAAACTTGAAAAGTGTTAGCGATAGGTTCCATCAGTTAGTTACCTTTGTACTGTTGCTGTGACAGAAGTTGCTGCATCCTGCAAAATATATGTGTTTTATTTCTGACCATCAGCGTCCTATGAAATATAATGGATGTCTCTTATTTAGGTCAGCTTAGATTTTTAGCTCTTAGAAATATCTGTGAACACCTGCCATAGGCAACAGCTGTTTTAAGTTGTACACACAGCCTATTATTTGGGAAGAGAACATAATCAAACAGGGTGGGATGACTAGTTTCTTGCCTAGAAATATTATGTGTGGAATTCCAACTATTCATTGTGTTGGGTTTCTCCCACACTTGGAAAACCATTTATTATTTCAAATATCCATATAGATGGATCCTATAGAAGTTTACTAAGAAATAAACCTCACTGTGTTGTAAGACATACTCCAGGTAAGTGTGCAAAAGATTGCAGCCCTAGTCCCTTATTTACTTAGAGGCAGTGGAGAATCTGGAAAAAATAAAGACCAAGGGGAAGAAGTGCAACAGACTTTTAATACAGAATCACCTCTCAGCTTTGGGCTATTAACATCTTAAATGCTTCAGTGATATGTCCCAGTTTAAGTTACAGTGGTACCTCGGGTTACAAACACCTCGGGATACAGACCCTTCAGGTTACAGACGCTTCAGGTTACAGACTCCACTATCCCGGAAGTAGTACCTCGGATTAAGAACTTTACCTCAGGATGAGAACAGAAATAGTGTGGCGGCAGCAGCAGCGGGAGGCCCGATTAGCTAAAGTGGTACCTCAGGTTAAGAATGGACCTCTGGAACAAATTAAGTTCGTAACCAGAGGTACCACTGTACAGTTATTGCTTTCTCTTGAGCCATTAATTGGAACTTTCCCTCAAGTTGAGAAAGAGTTGAGAATAATCAGTAAAACTTTAGCAAGCGTTGGCACAGGGAGATGACACGAAGAGGAGAAAACAGATTCGTAGTTGATTAAAATGAGCCAATTGAAATAAACAAACAAACAAATAAATAAAATATAAATCACTACCTCAAAAGATGCTCCTAGGATCAACACATCTGGAATGAAGTAGTACCTGATTATAATTATAATAGTTAGCTCATTGCACCTTAAAATTCTCAAGAGATGCCAGGAAAATGCCACCCCTTGATAAATGATCACCACCCTGGCCTCAGTGTCCAATTATTTTATTATATGGATCAGCCCTGTCTCAACCCTACCCCTTCTCATCATCCATGCAGTAAATAAACACAAACATTGTGGTAAGGATCAGATTCTTCTATTATGGGAAGGGCATTTTATGCAGAATCCCATGTGTACTGTAACATGCCCTTAAGTCTTTATTGTGTATTCCACATGGCTTTTAAATTTTTTAGTCATACGGGTATAGCCCGTACATTTCTGACATTATGTCTGTTCATTTTAAAAAGGAACTAGTTCTAGTTCACCCTCTCAAAAGAGGAACTGGTTCCAGTTCATTTTACAAAACAAACTAGTTCAGCTCAAATTCATCCAAATGAACTTTTTATAAAAAGTTGATCTAGTGGTTCAGCAGTGGAAACTGCTGGCACATTTCCAAAGCTAAGCAGTGTTTGGTATGATTTCAAATTGGAGGGATGACCACATATTGAGATTAGTGCAGTACAGGGGCTTGAACTAGATAACCTCGGAGTCTCTTCCAACTCTACAATTCTGTGATTTTATTAATCATCCTTGGTTTTAAAAAAACCACACACACCAAATGAGCATTCGGAATTTTACCAGCTGCAATGCTGAATTATGAAGTAAAACAGGGCCCATAAACAAGTAATAAGATGTCTGACAGACAAAATGTCAACAGGTGAAGCCTTCCTCGTAATTTTATTCTGCTCATCCTGTTTTATTTGTGCCAGCCACAAAGTTGTTAAAGGCAAAATGCATTATTCACTTTGTTCCTGCATTTGTAGTTTTGCTTAGCAACAGTGATTAAATGACTAAGCAACCTTAGCAACAGCAGTGCCTCCATCTCTGCCTAATAAGCCTTAGAAAGTTGGCTTTATGTTTTGTTTTCTAACCACCTTTATACATTTTCAATTAACTTACTTTAAAAAGAAAAAGCTAAGAACACAGGCTTCCTGCTGCAAGGGGAGGGGAGGGAATGAATGTGAAGATGAGCTAGAAATCATTCAGAGTTTTACCACGAAATGAACTTAATTCACCTTTAGTTCACTCAGCAATTATCCAAATCAGTGATTTTTGAACTACTTTAGTGAACTTCATTAAACTGAACTAGTTAATTCCAAGCACTGAAAATCATCTACTTGGAAAGTTCACTTTCCAATGGGGATTATTTCAAGAGTAAGTACTGTAGGCTTCCTACATTCCTACGTTCTGGATATGTCCTAAACGCCATAATTATAGAAACAGTGGCATTAAAAAATGGCAAGCTATTGAAACGTCTGTGTTTTGCAAATGAATTACATGAAAAGAAAAAGTGTGTCTCACACAGTTTGCTTACCTATGATTTTCCCATTGTCATTTAGATCACAACAGCATCCGGAAATGAGGTCCTTCTTCACTCAGATATTGACTTCATCATACTGGAGTGGTTCAATGCTATAAAAAATGTAATTGACAGATTGGTATGTATTTGTTTTGGCTATTGATAAAAGTATCATGGAGGAATGCATGTGCTTACACATCTAAGCAAGTTTTAAAGCAAGTGAACTTAATAATGTGAACCCCCCCTTTAAATCACTATATAAATGTGTGTGTGAAGACCTATATGCATTTTTTAATGCTATAAATAAATAAATATTCCAGATAAAAAGTGTTGCTGGACTAAAATGCAGTTTGATTCTATCCTTAGACAGAATGGTACATTTATTGCTGTGAAATAATGACAACACTGGTTTACTGTGGGTTGTAAAAGCACACAAGCGCTTAATAACTAATGAATTTTTACATTTTCTATTTATGCTATCTACAGTATATAATCTTTCATATGACTATTAATACGTATGAGTCTTTTTATGCATTTTCATATTATTTATTTGCCAGAATGGCACTAGAAAATATTCTGATGTATCTGATTGTTGTTACTCCTTTCTTTCTCACTGGTATTTTAGGAATGTATTTTCTGACAACCATTTTAATTGCCTCTCCCTCCCAATTTCTATTTATGCCACCACCACCCCTCATGTGCATTTGAACGTACTTAGTATAAACTTCACTTTTCAACTCTCCTAATTATGCTAGAACTATTTGTGCAGCATGTATCCTTTTTGCCCTTGTTCGCTGCATTTTTCAATAGAACTTGTTGCGAGCGGTTTGGAGGCATTTTGATGTCCAATCTACACACCTCTTTTATAGCCCTAATAGTGAGATAAACGAATAAGAAACTGAAAATGCCAAGGCAATCCTATGTGATGATATTATATCAAAAGGCCTTAAATACAGTGTACTGCAGTGCCTATCTATAAATTACATTAATCACAGGATTAGCCATCATGTGTGTCTTTCTTTTTTAAAAAAAATAATACATGCAAGGCATGGGAAGTGATAGCCTATGGCAGTGTTTCCCAACCTTTTTTGGGCAAAGGCACACTTGTTTGATGAAAAAAATCTCGAGGCACACCACCATTACAGCCCCGTGACGTCAGCGCGCAGCGTCACGCCAGGAGGGACGCACGAAAGTGTAACTTTCAATTTTTTTCCCTCCCCCTTGCCGGGGAACCTCCAAGCTTTGGGGGTGGGGGGGAGGCAGCAAAGCGAGGGACTGAGGGGCTCCTCCAACGACAAGGGTTGGGGAAGAAGAGAAAGGGCTATTCCGCTCCAGTCACGGGAGGGGAATATGTACTGGCCCAACTGGTGTGCGGTCTTCGGAAAGCGGGGTGCGGGAAGGAAGCCTAGGCTCGGGGTCATAGAATCATAGAATCATAGAATCATAGAGTTGGAAGAGACCACAAGGGCCATCGAGTCCAACCCCCTGCCAAGCAGGAAACACCATCAGAGCACTCCTGACACATGGTTGTCAAGCCTCTGCTTAAAGACCTCCAAAGAAGGAGACTCCACCACACTCCTTGGCAGCAAATTCCACTGTCGAACAGCTCTTACTGTCAGGAAGTTCTTCCTAATGTTTAGGTGGAATCTTCTTTCTTGTAGTTTGGATCCATTGCTCCGTGTCCGCTTCTCTGGAGCAGCAGAAAACAACCTTTCTCCCTCCTCTATGTGACATCCTTTTATATATTTGAACATGGCTATCATATCACCCCTTAACCTCCTCTTCTCCAGGCTAAACATGCCCAGCTCCCTTAGCCGTTCCTCATAAGGCATCGTTTCCAGGCCTTTGATCATTTTGGTTGCCCTCCTCTGGACACGTTCCAGTTTGTCAGTGTCCTTCTTGAATTGTGGTGCCCAGAACTGGACACAGTACTCCAGGTGAGGTCTGACCAGAGCAGAATACAGTGGCACTATTACTTCCCTTGATCTGGTGGACTTGTCCAAAAGTGAAGGCCTTCTGGGAAATGATCTATAATGAGTTAAAAAAGGTATTTAAGTATACCTTTCCCAAGAAACCAGAGGCCTTCCTCTTGGGCATTGTTGGCCAGAAAGTGTTAAAGAAGGATAGAACTTTCTTTATGTATGCAACTACAGCAGCAAGAATACTTATCGCAAAATATTGGAAGACACAAGATTTGCCCACACTGGAAGAGTGGCAGACGCAATTGATGGACTACATGGAACTGGCTGAAATGACTGGCAGAATCCGAGATTTGGGAGAAGAAACAACGGAAGAGGACTGGAAAAAATTTAAGGACTATTTACAAAAACAATATAAGTTGTATGAATGTTAAAAATTTACACGATTCGGAAACTATAGCTTCAGCAATTAGATTTGGGAAACAGGAAATTATATTTTAAGTAAGAAAAGGTCAAAATCTAAGGTAATACTATGTTTAATTTAAGATATAAGTAACTGATGATAAGTATGTTAAATTTAGAGGTATAGTATTTGAAAAGTACAAAATAAGGTATGAAACAAGGTAATAATTTGCTGATATCTTTATTATAAAGAATGCAGGGTAAGGGAGATGCGAGGAAGCCCAGTTAGTTATATAAAAAATGTGTTGAATGGTTGGTTTTCTTTTCTTCTTTTTCTTTTTTTCTTTTTCTTGTTCTTTTACTTTTTTCTTCAGTGTATGTTTCTAACTTTGTATTTGAAAACTTAATAAAATATTTATATATATAAAAAAGGGAAAATCCTTTCGCTTTTCTGGGGTGCAGGGAAGTCTCAGAGCCGGAGGTTGGGGAAGGGACCCCCTTTGCTCTGCCCTCTTCTCCCGTCTTAGATTCGCATGGGGGTCCCCGCCCGAGCTTGCCTGGCCACCGGGCCACACAAGGGCCGCGCTCTACGCGGCGCACCTTGCTAGCCGGGCAGCTGTCATCCGCTGCGCTGCCAATGACAAGCGGGCGACGGTCGCGGGCAGGGAAGGCGTCGCTTTCTTTCCCGATCCTTCATCCTCCCAGTCTTCCAGCCCTTTTTTGGGTTGGAAGCTCGTCTCGTTCGCCCTTCTCCTTTCTTCACCCTGCGCGCAATTTTCCTCCCTCGTCTCCCTCCCCATTTCTCCTTCCTTCCTTCCTGACTGACTGACGGGCTCGGGCTCGGGCTACGGCTCGGGCTCGGGCAGCCACAGCGTCGGCGGTGTTGGCGCTCGGCGGCGCGGGGGGATGGCCCTCCCGGGGGAGCCGGCGCTGCTCAATGGGGTTGCCAAGGAGACAGGCCGGGCGCCCCCTCCCCCGGCCCGGCGCCCCCCGCCGCGCCGGTGCCCGTTATCGAGCTGGTGCGCGCCGGGCGCCCTATAAAAGCCGCGGACGCACCAAGCGTCTACACGCAGAGCCAGCGCGGCGGCGGCGCTCTGCTGGAGGGGCCCCCCTCAGGCCCCATGGAGCCTCTGCGCTCAGGAGGGGCCGGTGGGCTGGCAAGCGCCTCACAGCAGCAGCACCAGAGAGGGAGAGAAGTCCGCCTCCCGCTGCCGCCGCCTCTTCATCCCCAGCAGCAACTTCCCTGCCCGGCTCCCCGCCGCCGCCGCCGCCTCCTTCTCTCCCTGCTTTGCAGTAGCAGCCGCCGCCGCCGCCGCCGCGGCACACCAGGCAACATCTCCCGGCACACTAGTGTGCCGCGGAACACCGGTTGGGAAACACTGGCCTATGGTACTGTAGGATGCAGTGAGGGAAGATTTAAGCGAGGGGTCAGCAAACATTTTCAGCAGGGGGCCGGTCCACTGTCCCTCAGACCTTGTGGGGGGGCAGGACTATATTTGGGTGGGGGGGAATGAACAAATTCTTTTGCCAACAAATAACCCAGAGATGCATTTTAAATAAAAGCACACATTCTACTCATGTAAAAACGCCAGGTAGCCCCCACAAATAACCCAGAGGTGCATTTCAAATAAAAGGACACATTCTACTCATGTAAAAACATGCTGATTCCTGGACCGTCCGCAGGCCGGATTTAGAAGGCGATTGGGCCGCATCCAGCCTCCTGGGCCTTAGTTTGCCTACCCATGATTTCAGCCTTCCCTCCCTGGCTGCAATCTGGAAAAACAATTCTCTACCCTTCACAGCAGCTAGCATTTCATGGGGATGGGGGTGAGCGTGGGGTGGAAGCTCTCATTGCCTACAGTGAAAGGTGTTTTTTCCCCCTAACACTAATTCTTGTGCAGATTTTTTTTACCAAGAATGTGATTGGAGAATGTGATGGCAAGTGCACTTCTGCCCATGCCTGGTGTTTAATTGTTTAAAATGACCATTTTTATTGTCATATCAGGCTATCTCACGGGGTTGTTGTAAGGAAACAATGGGTGTCCGAGAACTATATATATGCTTCCTTAAGCTGATTAGAATAAAGGAAGAAAAACATTAAATTACCCACCACCAAAAAAAAAAAAAATCTTTCTCACAAGTATTGTTTATGTGGACACTTGAGTAATGAAACCTCAATTCTGTACTCAACATATGGAGTATTTTTAAAGCAAAACAGAAGCCATATTATAAATTAATTTATAGTTCTATCTTATAATGCTTACTTGGAAGTAAGTTGTGCTGTGTTCTGTGGACTTATTACCCAGTAAATGAGTCCTGGATTATAGTCTTACTCGTAGAACAGGAGTGGAGAACCTTTTTAGCCTGGTGGGCTAAATCTTTATTGCCCAACTTACCTACCTGTCAGTCATTTGATATCATGATGATGCCAAAAGTTAATCCAAGGAGTGCAGGGAGGGGTCTGCTTCTCCAACACATTCCCTGCAGGACAGAAGGCCTTTAATGCAGTAGAGCAAGGTTTCCCAAACTTGGGTCTCCAGCTCTTTTTGGACAACAATCCCCACCATTCCTGACCACTAGTCCTGCTAGCTAGGGATGAAGGGAGTTGTAGTCCAAAAACAGCTGGAGACCCAAGTTTGGGAAACTCTGCAGTAGGGGAACTGGCAGATGACTTTGCTATAGCAACACTTCCCACATTCTGGATCAACCTTCTGCAACAACCCCACCCCCAAGTGTGAGAATTGACATTGGTTATTTCAGCAAGAAGGGGGAATCAGCAAAAATTACGTAACTTCCCCCTCTACCAGTGGAAGCATACCCTAAACAGACCTTTACTCACAGCATACTCCCACTAGCAGGAATGAACTCAGGGTCCAACCCACAGACAGGGGAGAAAAATCTTCTCATAGTTTGGTATTTTCAAATAATAGTGCCCCATGTATTTTATATAGCAGTCCCCCATGTATTTTCATTTCTAATTTTTATTTGCAGAATCAAAACCCACTTATAAGTATCACAATTTTAGCAGCATTGTGCTGAACAGATCTTGTACCATACTTTTCAAAACTTTAAATATTTATTTTGTCAACATAGGATAAACCTATTTTAGTTTTCTTGGTCTCTGTTTCCTTTCAGTCAGACATTTTAAATCAAGCATATTGTTCCATATATTTCTTTATCATTTTTCTCTTCTAGCCCAAAGAGAAGACTAACAAGTCAAGGAAAAATGAGTTCAAGCTTGCAAGATCCTCTAGCTCTGAATTGCTGAGCAGCTTTGAGGCTGAATCTAAGGAGCCAAAGGCAGAAAACAGAAGGTCTTTGAGTAAGTCCCTCTTATGTATATTTAAAGAAATATTACATCATAGCATGCTTATTGTAATGCAATTCAGGCAGCTATCTGACTGATTTGGAGGACATCCAAAACATTTGTGCAAGAAGACAATTGGATCAACGAGAGTACTTTTTCATATAGTGCATTAGCATGGAACTATGAGAGAACTTAAAACTGGTTTAGATGATATATTGGCTGGCCTCTGCAAATAACTCTTTATGCAAGAGGTCTACAGGCCTGAACAGTGTAATGGCGAGGGGCACGATTTTCATGACCTTGTGACTTCTCCTGCATGAAAAGAAAAATCAGAAGCATGTTTCTTTTGCAAATATTAAACTGACTGAACCACCTCATAGAGAATGTGAAAAGCAAAGAGTTTTAGATAACCGAAGTGGAAGCGGTTGGGCCAACACAATTCATATTATTCATATTTAGCCAATGGCTCCTAACCCTAATTCTGTTCTAATACTTGGAAGTCCAAACACTTGGAAAAAACTGTGTGTTGAGCTGAAGGATGAAATTCCTATAACCAGTTGGATTTAAAAATTAAGGCTTGCCTATCTCCTCCAGATCAGCTCATGAGGATCAGGAATCCCTTCAAATGGGCATAGGATGGTTGTAGAGCCTTCAATGGGAGGAGGAAACTGGGTAAAAACTGCTTTTGTTTCCACAAGTCTGAATCCCTGCCAAAGTTTCTGGTCAAGACAGATGATTTCACTTACATCTTCTTTCATGCATTTCAGTGTTACTATCCAAGGTTCTTCCCTTGATTCCAGGCACTGCAATGGCCATCTTCAACTTCCTTCCTTCCTTCCTTCCTTTATTTGTTGTATCACCATGGACAGGTAGCCTTACTGCCGAAGGGGTTTGTATGAAAGAATAATAATCTTTTAAAGACAAAATGTGGGATGGCATGCAGTGGAGCAAACTTAAGTTCAGAAAAAAATGGTATAACATATTGGAATGGCAGAAGTCCATGGAGGAGGGTAGCCTTCATGTGTTCAATGAAACTTTTTATGCTTTTTAAAATAATAATAATAATAATAATACGCTATGCAAAGACTTAAGCCGTGGCCTGAGTGCAAGATTGAGGGGGTGCCTGGTTTCTAACACAATGCTTGTTAAAAAACAACTCCTCAAAACTAAAACAGCACATTCAGTAGTTCACAAAATGTTGCTGGTATATAGATGTTAACCAGCTTGTTATATATCTTGTTAACCAGCGAGGACATGGTGACTTTTCACTAAGTGATCCTGTCACTTGCACAACCAAAGTCAACACAGCTCTCATTGTGTCGGTTATCACACACTGCCTGGGGGATTCTAAGAGACATCTAGCAGTCTATTGTGGGATGCTGGACTAGGTAACCCTTGGCCTGATTGAGCAAAATTCTTCTTAAGTTTTTAAAGCACATGGAATTCAATCTCTCCTGGTGTTCCCGTAGGGGTCGTGTCATGGCCCTAGCCCCCAACCCAGGCTTCAGGCAAGATCAACACCCCCCCAATTCCTTTAACGGAATACCCTTAAGCTTGGAGGGGCAGGTGATGGCCACACCTCCCCTTCCCTATCACAAGGTCAAACAATGCCTAACCACAACCCTAACAAAGTTGTGATGATTGCTATGAGGTAGGCAAAAACCACATGGCCAGTGCCAATTTGCCAAGTGGAAAAATTCCTACCAGGCCCCTCAACGGCGACCAACCGAGGTCCATAGCAAGGCCAGTGCCTAAACCTGCAAAATAGGGAGGGTGATTGAGGAAGCGAGCCAAAGAGGAAGCCCTCTGGCTCGCTCCTCCGATTTAAACGGTCCCGACCATGCCCCCCTGACCATGGGGATTGGCTGGCCGGACCTTGATGTGGCCGGGACCCCTGGGCAAGGGGGGACAAAATCCCCCACTCCTGGCAGGTAGTGGGTGACCACGCAGTCCACTGCAACTCCTCCCCACTGGGAAGTGGAGCGGATTTGCGTGTCGAGACCCTGCAGCCACCCCCTCATTGGGAAATAACACACACAAGGACACGGATATTAGGTTTATGTTATTGGGCAAATTTGGCCACAACTTTATTGATTACAGAATGGGAGCGGTATTGGCTTAGGCATTGAATGGACCCGACTATATCTGGCTCCTGCCCAATGCACAGGAAGTCCAGTAAGGGTAAACCACCAGAAGGCCCCAGTCCTAAAAGAGTAGGCAGCATATTCCTTAACTGGAAGCCCACAAGCTTCAATAGCTTTGCGCATCACACGAATAAACTGCTGTCTGGCAAGACGGGACCCATCCTCGTGTACTAGGAAAGGGCCGGAACCAGGGGGTCTGAGGTCCAGAAACTTTTTTGTGTCATTTACGGGGCAGGGACCACTTTTCATGGTTGCCATCAGCCGAACCAAGACACCCTTTCCTTTCTGGTCTGTTTTTGAGCAACGGATGTGACCCACCAACATTGAATCTGAAAGCTGAATATCATCAAGCTGCAGGCTCGCCTTCATGCACTACTTCACCAACTCTTAGGGATCTTAGCTTAAGATCCCTGATGGGTTGACCAAAGGTCCATCTAGCCCAGCATTCTGTTTCCAGCACTGTCGAGTCAAATGCCACTGTTGAGCTAATAATTGCAAGCAGGATATGAATACAACAGCCTTCCTGAGTTGTTTGCCCCTGGCTTTCAAATGTTATCTAACTGGTACATGTAGGTCCCAGATAGCTATACCTGAGATGATAAGTAATTTGGATATAAATAGCCAAATAAACAGATTTAATTTCCAGCGAAAAGGCATCAGTGTACTCAATGTCCCAAAATTATACATCTATGTAGAAATAATATGGAATATATTTATTACTTTAGCAAGCATGTCTTTTTCTAGTTTGTACATATTGGAATGTAAATCTTAGCTTTGGTAGAACTCCTTATATCATTGCTTTATTCAACCCTAGTTAAAAATGGCTCATGGTGAACAGACACAATCCAAGGGCCTCTACCTCTTTGCCATTTTTTTGGGCAAAACGCCAGTAAGCTGTCTCACCATTTGTTGTTGTCTTTTATGCTTCTTGGCATCATAAATCTAACATCTCTTCAGTAATGATTTAGAAGACAGATCAAGTTCCCACCAATGATATAAAGTTAGCATACAACCCAGCACTTGAACTACAAAAAGTTCTGAGGGTCCCCTGTCGTGCTTAAACTTTGTGTTTAGAAGTAGAAACAATCCAACGTGAAATCCGACTGATTTAAGCTTTGTGTGTGTTTAAATAGTATAGACTGAGTTGCCTTACAAATATGTATTTGGAATTTTCTTCCAGCCCCTTGAGACTCAGTAATTATGTGGAATTAGAAAAATGTTAGCATGTGCTTACTTATTCGTAGTCAAAGCACAAACTGTATTGTCAGTTTTCTGCCTTTGGCTTTCTATGCCCTTAATGTTCACACCAGTATCGTCGCCAGAATTATCGGCAGCCAGAGCCAAAATTGCTTTAAAAAGGCATGAGAACTGGTAATGACATGTTGTTAGCAGTTAACAGGTGGTCGTTCCATTGTCCAGTTTGACTGCGGAGCACAAAGACGGTATGCTACAGTATTTGCAATGAGGGCATTGCAAAAGGTGTTTAAAAAATTGAAATGCATTTCTGTGGTGTTCATGTTATTTGCTCTTCTCTGCAAACTAAAGAAATATATACATTTAAATAATAATTATTATTATTATGAGTGACGTCCAAGTTATACCCAGAGGAGATCCACTGAAATCAATGGGCTACAATTTTAATGGGCCTACTCTGATGTATATCACCTAATTATTATTGTTTACATTTAAACTGAAGCAAACCATGGAACTGAAATAATTAGTAAGGAAGATTCTCATTTAAGGTAGGAAATATGCTTTGCACAACTCAAGCCACTTTTGGAGTTAATTCTTTTCAATGTTATGGTCCTGGTATAGGAAACTACTGTGATATAGGCTTTTCATTGATGGCTGTCAAAGGATGCAGTATATTTCAGCACCATCTACAATTCAGCAATCCTCAAACTACAAGAGCATTGGGGTTTGCATTATCTGCTGTAGATCAGTTCACATCCCCTGTGAGCATGAAGTCTTACATTGCCCTGGTAAATATAAATTTCAGATCCTTTCAGTTTTCTGGATCACTGTCACATTTTGTATGTTTGTATGCTGCCCCTCTTCTTCATCAGACATGATGCTGCATAATGCTAGGGAATGAAGAGGAAAATTTTAAAAGTACCAAAAATAGGCTGATGTTATAGCCATAAAGTCAGCTGAGAGTAGACAATGTTCCATGTTGGTGATAGAGACTCTCTATCTACTCCAGGAGTCTGAATTTTTCATTTGGGGCAGATCTGGGTTACAAGCCAGACTTTCTCACATGTGAGGAGCAACCATTCCTTCTTCATTCTCCAGCCCTAGATGTGCTACCTGATACTTCTTATCCCTCCTTCTCATTGCTGTTCCTTGTATATCCGTAAGTAAAACAGCTAGATGCATTATTTTTTTAAGTGAGGCAGCCTTGGACGGAGCTATGTCCTCACAGATGACGTACCCATTCCGTTGCTGGTTGTTTCTTTCAGGCCACGTTAGGGTTCATAATATTGCATGAATGCTGCTTGATTCTTGGACTCTTTCAAGAGAAGGTGCCATGGACTCTTATGTTTCCTGCACTCAATATTCTCATACTTACTTAACTGTGGACTGGAAACAGTGTTGTCCCTTGACGTTGGTACAAGTCTAGTGCAGGAAGTGCCTGCTGAGGGGTGGGATTCCTGCTGTTGCATATACCCCCAGTTGAATTTGGACATCTCTGTTTTAGTGTACCCCCCCCCAATGTGGGGGGCAAGTCAGTGCCCCTGAATGATAGTCTTATTCACCTGGTTCTCCTGATCCAGCAGTAGCACACTTAACGTTTGAAGCAATCATACCCATCACAAATTAGTAGTAGTAGTAGTAGTAGTACCCCGCCCATCTGGCTGGGTTTCCCCAGCC